TATGCGGGCCTCTCACTGCTGTGGCCTCTCCCGTTGCGGAGCACAGGCTCCGGACGTGCAGGCTCAGCGGCCATGGCTCACGGGCCCAGCCGCTCCGCGGCATGTGGGATCCCCCCCGGACCGGGGCACGAATCCACGTCCCCCGCATCGGCAGGCAGACTCTCAACCACTGTGCCACCAGGGAAGCCCTATGACGCTGACTTTTAACACGGTAGTTGAAGACCCCTGATGCTAGTGCTGGAGCTAAGGAACCCAGGGAGAAGTACAGGGATTTTTTTCTTTTGGTGGGAAAGAGAACGATGATTTATTTCAGAGTTGGAAGGGTAATTAGATTATAAGGCCGAACTCCTATATCTAGTTTATTATATCAGTCTTGATCGTCTTTCCCCCCAAACTCAGTTATTTGGTAAAGGTGTGGTAGGTTCTTCACCTCTTCCCCAAATTCCCATGATAGAAATAGAGACATTTTGGTGGCCTGAGGGTCACAGAGAGAGCAGGCTTGATGGGCCAAGTCCCCGTGAAAGAGGCTTTTTCTGCTAGGATCCAGGTCAGCCTTGTGGGTTTGTAGGTGTGGATCTCAGCTGTACAGGTCGTGACCTTTACTTCATAACTCTACCCAGGATGATCAAACTCTAAAAAATCAGGTCATGTGAATTTAACTCACTACCGGCCTTTTTCACTTTTAATGGGAGACCTATGTTTCCAGTAACTAGGATGTTTGTGCCTGGTATCCAGCGCGCTCCCTTCCCTCCGGGTGTCATAGAACCTGGGGAACCTAATTGCTCTTCAGAAAGTTTCTTGTTCAGCATGGACTCAGGCAGTTTAGTGGAAGAGTCCGCCTAGGTGTTAGTAAAGGTGGAGAATTGTTCCCACCTCACTACTGAATGTACTTTTCTAGTGACTGAAATATACTTACGTTCCCAGCTACAGAGTTTCTTTCTCTTGGACCCGCTGGATCAACACTGTTGGAATTTTACTCCCCTGATTGCCATCTGTCTCTCTGAAGACTCTGCTCTTAATGATGTCATGTTAAGCTTACTTTGCGGGGGTTACATTTCAGTCTTCTTGAGATTTGAAGAGAAATCTGGAGACCAGATAATAAACCCTAGATCCACGAATAAAGCCCATCTCAATAGAATTAGCTGACTCATACAATGCTATCCATTTTGTACCGAACCTGGTAACCCCGGTGCCAGAAGGCATACTTCCCTGACCTTGTTGAGGAGATCCGCCGTCCTTGTCTCCTGGACACCGTGTGCTCCATACTCAGTTACTGTGTGGCTCACTCCACTTTACTTGGGGTGAGGAATAAAGTTCATTTCATTCTCACAACTGAGGATTTTGTAACCCTGGGTAAAGTCTGCTGAAGAAATGCCCAATTAAATGTAAACGGGCTGATTGGAAATTATTTTGAGTATGTATTGGGAGGACACCTGTGTTTTCTCCGAGGGCTAACGCGAGGTATGTTTGTCCCTATTTCGTTTGCATTATTTTCTCCGGAGGCCACTTGCAGGCCGGTTGACGTCTGTCTTAACCCTCCTCCTTTTTCTCCTGTGGTTTTTCACTGTTTAGGTGAAGGAAATCACCCGCGACATCAAGCAGTTAGATCACGCCAAACGCCACCTGACCACCTCGATCACGACGCTGAACCACCTACACATGCTGGCGGGCGGCGTTGATTCCCTCGAGTAAGCACGTCAGCGGTCCCTTTCAGGTCCACGGGAAATAAATGTATCACAGAGGAGATGGCACCGTAGGTTTATTTACTTCTCAGCCAGGAGAGTCTCATCATCCTGGCCCACTTCCTGCAAAGCGGTCTCAGATGTTTAGTCACCACTTTGGCTTTGTGCCCTCGGGTGCTCAACGTGTAACAGACACCCGAGACTTTGAGGTGAGGGGCAGGTGAGTCTGAAGGGGCCCAAAAAGCATGTGGAGAATGACTTCAAGAGCACAGGTCGTTTACATGTGGTAGATCTCTACCATGGAGGCTGACAAGGCAGCGTAGGGCTGTAATCATGCCCCCAGCCTGCGCGTTGGCAAGTTTTCCTGCTTGTGCTGGGCTCAGTTGCACTGTCATTGGACATGCCTTATGGAAACAGACCCTTGTACCCACTTTTTTCTTTTTTTTTTCCACCCACTTGTCCAAAGGCAGAAGCTTTCTGTTTGGCTTGTAGGGGAACTATAGGGAATGGTACATGAGAACATGAGAACCAGTATTAAAAGGAAGAGTTGGTTATTGACCACAATGAAGCAGCCCAAAGGCCTCCTTTCCTAGAAGATTCTGATATTCCTGTTCACTTTTGTGGTCTGTCTCATGAGAATTGCCCCTGTCCCAGCCTCAGTGTAATTTCAGGTGTGGATAGAGAAAGAGCACCTCCATAGGAATTTAGGCACAGTATCCAAAGTTGGGGTGAATAGGGGACAGACTCCTTCCTGGTCTCTCCCAGACATTGCATGGTCCTCAGTGAACCCTGGCCTGTTCTCCTGCGAGCAGTGATCGGAGAGGTCAGCAGGCCTGTAGGAGACTGGAAGAGCAGTGTCCTTGTCCCTTTCCCCAGGTGCTCAGTGCTTTCCAACAAACCAGCAGACCAGGCAGTGGTAGCAACGTAACTCCTTGGCTTGAACTTGATCCTGTCTTTTTAAATGCCTTGTAAAGGAAGTCATAAATTATACGTTTAATTAAAAAAACCAATCCTAACGAAAATTTTAAATCTAATAGTTTGTTACTTCCTTGCTGTGTGTAACTGTCGATTTTATCAGCATCCTTTTATTTAAGCTTCATTAACCTTAGCAGCAGGGAAACTAAACATGCCTAAACATACACAGAGTTGCTTAACATTGGCTTAAAGTCTACAGATTTGAGTTAACATGTAAGTGCATATACATGCTCTTTGTTGTATCCTGAGATGTGTTTGGTTTGCTCAAATGCCATAACCCTCAAATAATAACATCCCGACCCCTGCTCTCTGTCAAAAGCCAACTAATCCATAATACCCAACCCAAATCCCAAATCCCAAATCCATAGTCTTCCCAGATTCCCCTTCCCCCACCCAGGGAGACTCCGTCCCTCACACATTCTTTTGTATGTCCCAGAGCACATAACTTGGACTTCTGTTTAGAGCTCCATTCATCCTACTTGGTACTACTTAGATGTGTCCTGTTGCTCTCCCTTACTAGCTCATGTTCCCTTAAGGATTTGGACCCGGTCTTATTTTTTTTCTCCCCCAGTGCACCGCACCATATATATTCAGTGCTCAGGAAATGCTTATTAAGTTGAGTTGATGTCTGTTTTAGAGCACAGAGTAGGTTGGTCCATATCTGTATCTTGTGTCCTTAGTGTTCCTCTGGAGTCCTCAGCTTCCTATTTCCTTGCAGAGCCATGACCAGGAGAAGACAGTATGGAGAAGTTGCTAACCTTCTTCAGGGCGTAATGAATGTTCTGGAGCACTTCCACAAATATATGGGAATTCCACAGATCCGGCAGCTTTCTGAAAGGTAAAATGTCATTGGAGAAAACGATCTTCCTTTTTAAGAAGAGGTGGTGCTGGGAAGTGCTTAAGCACTCAGCTCAGGATGTTCATTGTACAGTCTCACTGTGGGAAGGAGCCTCAGAGGTCACCTGATCTGACTCTGCCTGTTGCGGACGTCCCCTCTATGTCCCCTCACCACCTCCTTACCATGTCTTCTAACACTACCTGTGTTAGATAGTTGCTGGCCTGGTTCACTGGAGTGAGGCAAGCCCACGTTCGTGAGGGAAACTGTTCCAGTTGTCTGCTTCCTTGTAACAAACCAACAAAACCCAGGACTTAGTGGCTGATGACAACAGTTATTTCGCTCGTGTAATGTGGCCTGGCCCAGCAGGGACAGCTCATCTCTGCTCCGTGCAGCGTCAGCTGGGGTGGCTCCACAGGGGACTGGAGGATCCATTGGTTTAACCTCATGGTTGGCAGATGGGCTCTTGCTGTCAGCTGCGAGCTCAGCTGGGTTGTCCTCCCTGGGCTGCTTGGGCTTCCTCATGGTGAGGTGGTGGTGCTGGGGCCCATGAATGAGCATGCCAAGAGAACCAGGTCTTAGAAGCCACAGAGAGTCGTTTCTATAGTCACAAGCCTGTCAGGATTCAAGAGGAAGGGATATAGCCTCCACCACTACCAACGGGAGGAGTTGTCAAAGACCCATTGGTGTAAAGAGCACGTGGGGGGCTTCCCTGGTGGTGCAGTGGTTAAGAATCCGCCTGCCAATGCAGGGGACATGGGTTCGATCCTTGGTCCGGGAAGATCCCACATGCCGCGGAGCAGCTAAGCCCGTGCAGCTATGTAGGTGTGTCACCTGTTTTCAAGGCAGATCTTTGTCCTTTCAGTTTCTTCAATGATAATTGGTCTATTTATGTTGCCTACTTATTTTTTTTTCCTTTTTAAAAATCGTGTTGAAATATACGTTACGTAAAATTTACCATTTTAATAATTTTTTAGTGTACAATTTCGTAGCATTAAGTATCAATAAATTCACAGTATCGTACAACCATTACCACTCTATTTCCGAAACTTTTTTATTACCCCAGACAGAAGCTTTGTATGCATTAAATAATAACACTCATTGCCTCCTCTTTCCTGCTTCTGGTAACCTGTGTTCTATTTTCTATCTACGAATTTGCTTATTCTGGGTACCTCATATACTTGGAATCATACACTATTTGTCCTTTTGTGCCTGGCTTATTTCATTTAGCACGTTTTCAGGTTCATTCGTGTCGTATCATTTATCAGAATTTCATTCCTTTTTAAGGCTGGATATTTTATTGTGCATATAGACTATATTTTGTTTGTCCATTCATCTGTTGATGGACACTTGGGTTGCTTCCACCTTGTGGCTGTTGTAGTTACGTAGACTAAGCAAATCTATTGTCTGGTGCCTATTGAAAATCTGAAGTCCATCTCATTCTTATTCCTTTATAAAATAACCTATAAAATAATTTATTTTGTTCTGGAAGCATTTGAGATTTGGGGGTGGGAGAATCAGGAATTTTACTAGGACATGGGTCTCTTTTCATTCATGTTGCTCTGTACTTAATTGTATTCTTTTCTTTTTAAATATTGTATCTTAATTAATTAATTTAGTTTTTGCTGTGTTGGGTCTTCATTTCCGCACACGGACTTTCTCTAGTTGTGGCGAGCAGGGTCTACTCTTCATTGTGGTGCACGGGCTTCTCACTGTGGTGGCTTCTCTTGTAGCGGAGCACGGGCTCTAGTACGTGGGCTTCAGTAGTTGTGGCACGCCGGCTCAGTAGTTGTGGCACACAGGCTCAGTAGTTGTGGCTCGCGGGCTCTGGAGCACAGGCTCAGTAGTTGTGGTGCATGGGCTCAGTTGCTCCGCGGCATGTGGGATCTTCACGGACCAGGGATCAAACCCGTGTCCCCTGCATTGGCAGGCGGATTCTTAACCACTGCGCCGCCAGGGAAGCCCCCTTTATTGTATTCTTAATCTGAAGACTCATGACTTTCTTAAATTTCAAGAAATTGTTCTCCTTTATTTCTTCGAGTAGTTTTTGTGCTTTGTTCTCTGTGTTCTCTCTTTCTGGACTCCCTAGTACATGAATATTGGAACTTCTAGGTCTGCTGCCTTGTTTCTTAATTTTTTTAAATACCTTGTATCTTTTTGTTGTGTTAAGCTGAGTTCCTCAACTCAACCCTCCTGTTTTAATTTATTCTTCAGTCTTGTCCATCCTGTTATTTCGCCCAGCTGTTGAGTTTTTATTTCAACAATCCAACTTTCAGCTTCAGGGTATCTAGTTGATTCTTTTTTCATGGGCATAGTATCCTCTTAAGTCTCTTAGGGAGTATAAACTATATGTGTTTTAAAGTTCTGAGTCGCCTGTTCCATTTCTCTGTCCTCTGATGTCAGGTCTTCAGTTTGTTGAGCATGATGACTCTCTTTCTTGGTGTTTGCACTCTGCCAATATTTGGTGATTTCTAGTTGATCGCTCAGTTTTGGCTGTGAGATTCTCTGTCATTCTGATCAGAGATGCTCTTTTACTGTCACCTGCTCGTGAGGGGGAGGCGGGATGTGCTGCTCGGCTACGTGTGTCACAGACTGTGCTTGTCAGGTGAGGTGGAGCTGGAGCTGGGGGAACTGCCAGGTGGGATATGCTGGTGGCTTATCTTCTGGGCCCGAGGGCTCCCTGATCTGCCTGGATGTTGTCAGCCCTCTGGTCCCTGCTGGGCTTCTCAGACCCACACCCATTCCTGACCTGAGCGCTCAAGGCAAGGGTGAGACGTGGGCACTGGCTTCGTGGCTCCTCTTGCAGGACCCCAGCGTATCCCTCCAGCGGTTCCCTGGGGCCGCCCATCTGCTCTGGTATCCACGCCCCTCGTGTCCTTCATCTTTGAGAAGCCATTTTAGGCAGGGGTTTCCTTTTTCAGTCCTCTCCCAGCAGGGTTTCTAGTCTACCACTCCTTTTCTTGCCCAGTTCTGGATTCTTATTAAAATCTTTTCATTGGGCTTCCCTGGTGGCGCAGTGGTTGTGAGTCCGCCTGCCGATGCAGGGGACGCGGGTTCGTGCCCCGGTCCGGGATGATCCCACATGCCGCGGAGCGGCTGGGCCCGTGAGCCATGGCCGCTGAGCCTGCGCGTCCGCAGCCATGGTCACTGAGCCTGCGCGTCCAGAGCCTGTGCTCCGCAATGGGAGAAGCCACAACAGTGAGAAGCCCATGTGCCCAAAAAAAAAAAAAAAAAAAAAAAAAATCTTTTCATTATTTCTGAGTTTCTGGGACAGGAAGGGGAGGGGTTGCACTGCGTGCTCAGGGTGCCATCTTAGAGGTGAAATGCCAAGGAATTGTTAAGGAATGTTGGAACAGAGCTTGGCGGAATACTCGGGAAATCACCATCCTTTCCCTTATCCTTCCTAAACCCTTCACACTCAGAGCTGGCTGATCGCCATGTCACACGGGATGTGAAGCAGCCAGGAGAGCAGACAAACGGGGCTTTGTGAGCTGCAGGAAAGAAGGAAGCTTGGATGGAGAAGGCAGACTCACTCTCAGTGGATCGGGGGGAGAGAGGAGAGGCAGCATCACCTCCCCTTACCCTCCTGATAATCTAGAGTTGATCTTTTTTCCCCCGTTCACTTATTCTTCTCTTCACTCACTAATAGGTACTTACCAGACACTTTGGTATCCCAGGCCCTGTGCTGGGAGACCGAGGGCACAAAGATAAGAAACACATGCTCTCTGCCCTCAAAGCGCTCACCATTTTTGTGAGAGACACTAATAGAAAATTTCAGTATAGGATGGATATAGTATATGTACAGGCACAGCAGGGAATTGATAGACTGACCCTTCAGGGGTCAAGGATAGCGGTCACAGAAAAATTCAATTTTAATGTGATCTTAAAAGAATGGGTAGGATCTTACCACCAAGACAAGAAGAGAGAGGGGGGAAAATAGGAGAGAGAGAGAACATCGAGGTACTTGGGGAGACAGTGGAGGGTGAAAGTCTGTCTAGGTAGGCAGGGTCAGATTTTATATGCCTCGCTAAATAATCTGTTCTTCATCTCGTGGACAATGAAAGATGTTAAGCGGGGAGAGGCATGGTCTCATTTGTATTTTGTAAAACTCTTGTGGGTTATAGGTGCAAGAGACTGGAGGTTGGGGCTATGTTCTGGATTAGAAAAGATGAAGACCATACCATGACAGTGACCGTGAGGTCAAGGAGATGTGGGGAAGAGTTGGTTACCCATTGGTTCCATGAGATGAGCATTGCTGAGTGGCAGGAATGTGGCAGAACTGAATTTTAGTTATAAAAAAGCACCATAGGGACAAACAAGAGAATGCACTCTTTTAGGATTCCTTGCCTTTTAACATTTTTTTCAAAGAAGTGGTTTTATAAATTTGAAGGAACTTCGTGATCACTGCTGTAATAACACTCCCCTTAGAAATAGAAAAAGATAACATTCTATCAGTATAGTTTGGTGCTCCAGCCATTCATTATCATGTAGGGTTGCTGCAAACACAGGAGGATTTACTTTTCTTTTAGCTCATTTCACAACTTCTATTTGCAAAAAAAAAAAAATGTGTTGATTAATAGAAAATATATACTATTAAGTAACACGAAAAATAATGGAAGGGAAGGAATCTCTCGTTTCCAGTGTCTGACTACAGTTCTTTTCCAAGAGGTACTAAAAGTTTGAGGAAAGTCCAGACTTCTTATTTTTAGCATCATTTCTGGTGAATATTCCTCCCTTATGTTTACATAGTGACGGTAGAACCATCTGGAAGTGATAGAAATAGCTTGTTTGTTTGGGGGGAGGGGAGAAGGCAGGAGAGTTACATCCTGTGTGCTGCTTCAGGTTCTCTAACTTAAAAGCTTGCTGTCTGTAAACTGTGGAAGTCATACAAAGGGTTGTGTTCTGAAATCTTCGCCTGTACAGTTGAAATATGAAGTTCATAGGCTTTGATTTGAATATAGCTGTTTCTTCCAACTACCCTTCTGGAAAATGCTTAAACGTTAATGTAGCGTTGAAGGAAAGATTTTTTTTCTTTAATGTCATCTCTACGTTTCAGATCCTCCGGCTTAAGAATATCCATGAAAGCAAATGTGTCTAGTAGTCAGTCAGTATTTCCTGAGGAAGAATGGAAGATTCTTGCATTCTCTTGAAACCCACGAAACCGTTGAACAGAAACATATTCTTCAGGGCTATTTCTAACCTCTTGTACATGACAGGTACTTGGCCGGTTGAGGGGATCACATGGCCTAGTGATCAAAGAAACTAAAGTGGAGAATGAAAAGGGCTGGCTAATCAAGTGTACGTCAATAAAATTTGAAAAAAAAGAAAGAAAAGGCCTGGCTAGCTGTGTGACTATGACAGAAAGAACTTAAGTTTCAAAAGAAAGTATAAGGGTTGTACTTGATGATCTCAAAGCATCCCACTGAGTCACTCTAAGATTCTGGGTTGAGATTCTGTCTGTTTGGAGATGGAGCATCTGACTAATCTGACTGACTAACCATTCTGTCTGGCACTCCGTATTTTGAGAGGTCAGTTTATTGCGAATCATTGAGGGTATTTTCTTTAGGACTGTCATTCACAAGGTATTGGAAGCATCAGGGTTATTTTATCCGTAAATGTCTAAGTGCTTTTCATAGTTTGCTGTCCCTCTGCTGCCACCCCTTATGAAATCTGATAGCCCATTTAGGGAATGGCGCCCTTGAACAACCCTTGGTCACATGGCGTGGAGGATGCTAGGAGGCAGTTGGTTCACCTTCATTTCCGGGCAGCACAGGGAATCTTTCATCTCCTAAGAGTGGTCAACACTGAGTTATCACCACCCAAACAGGCCGAGCTTATTTGGATGCCAGGAGGAATTGTTATTTCCCTTCTTCTCTAGTAGTGGTCGATTGATTTTCATAACGATGACTAGGAAGTCTTGGTAGCTGAACTCACATATATGCTCCGCTAACAGAGTCTGTTGCTGCATCTCCTCCCAGTAGGAACTTACTTTTCATCTTTGGAAGAGGAAGGAGTATAAAGGAGTGAGGCCGAAGCTGTGTTCTTTTAAGTATGTTGACGTCTTTCTAGGATCCCGCTCGGGCAACTGATTGTAAAGACTGCTCTTCACATCTTACCCTGAAAGTACACGGATCATGGTTTGGGTTTATAGATACCATCGTTATTGTCAGTAAGGGAAACGGTTTCTCTTTCATCTGAGTCACTGGTAGATACTTCAGGAACTATGCTTGGAAACATTTATGTGCAAAAGCTTATTATTCTGCTCCAACATTAATTAAACATCCGACTTCCAGTCACCTGTAAAGATGGATGTCATTGCCAGCTAGCGCTGTAAGACGGGTGTGGTAGAATAGTCAGGATTGGAGCAGATACTGAAAGGCATCTAGTCCAGGCCTCCATCCCCACCCTCTGATTTCACAACCATTCTTAGTCGTGGCCCACATAGGGGAAATGGCTTAATTAGGATTACACGTAGCTCACCAGTGGCACAGCTAAGTCTAGACTTTCTCAAGAGGTGACCTTGGGAATGGACTGAGGAAGAAGGCAGGGGGGTCTGCAGATCACAGCCTGGTACTTCTGTGTTTATCATAGGCTTTGGTTGTCTTTTCAGGCACCCAGTCTTTCTCTTTTTTTTTTAAGGGATTGTATTGAAGTATAGCTGATTTACGATGTTGTGTTCATTTTTGCTGTACAGTAAAGTGATTCAGTTATACATGTATATACATTCTTTTTCATATTCTTTTCCATTATGGTTTATCACAGGATATTGAATATAGTTCTGTGTGCTATACAGTAGGACCTTGTTGTTTATCCAGTCTATATATTGGGTTGGCCAAAAAGTTCATAAGATCTTACGGAAAAATGTGGACGAACTTACCCAATATAATAGTTTGCATCTGCTAATCCCAGACTCCCAATCCATCCCTCCCCCACCCTTCCTCCCCCTTGGCAACCATAAGTCTGTGCTCTATGTCTGTGAGCCTGTTTCTGTTTCATAGATAAGTTCATTTGTGTCATTTTAGATTCCACATATACGTGTTAGCATACGGTTTTTGTCTTTCTCCTTCTCACTTACTTCACTTAGTCTGATCATCTCTAGGTCCATCCATGTTACCTCAGGCACCCCAGTTTCAAATCTGGTTAAGAATATGGAGTTAGGGGATGGTGGGCGGGGTAGGGTGACAGAGGCAGAGCCGGGACCATCTTTACCACTGAAGTGCTCAGGAGCCCTGAGAATAAGACTGTGACTGTCCCTGGCGGGGCTGGAGCTCCCCCTCCAGGAGTGATCCTGTGGCTTAGGAGGGAACCTGTGCTCTCTGTGCGCTGCCAAGGAGAGAGGAGGAACAGCGGGGCCTGAGGCTCTGGAAGCTCCGTCTTGTGACCTGGCACCAGGGCAGTCTGTCTGCCTGGCCCGTTATGTGGAGTCATAAGACCTTGGAGGCAACGGTTTAACAAAAGCATGTTCTCTTCTGTCCTGTCAGAGCTCACACTCAAGGAATGTTTTCTGTGGTCCACTGGGCAACTGTAGATGGATGGCCCTGATTCTGCCTCGGGGGCTCCTCCGGTGATAGCCTTAACTCTGTCATTTCTAACCCCCTCGGAAAGTGACTAAAGAGGCTGCAAACCCACCTATAAGAGTGGATTTAAAAGTTTTGAAGATGGTGGAAAAACCCTGGAAAGTATTTGGAATAAGGCATAATTATAACTATGCCATAGAAAACCCAAACTGTTTTGGGTCCTGACTATCCCCTCATTAAAAAAAAAAAATCTGAGTACGTCTCCAGGCACTGCCTAGTAGCCAAAGAAATTGTGGTTTTGAGCTGTTCGCTATTTCTAGAAACTTCATAAAGTTAATTCCAAAGTAACAGGGTGGAGACCAAAAAAGGAAGAACGTTATTTTACGGTGCTTTTAGCAAAGATAAAATATTTGCCGCAGGCTCAGGGCCGTCTAGCTCTGAGGATGGCTGGTGGGAGGCATCCAACTCCTGGGGCTGGTGGAGGACAAGCTCCTCGCAGGAGGCTGACCCGTAGCTCCTTTCCCCTCCCAGCTGCTCTCCTTCCTCCTGTTTCCTCTCAGTGGACAAGTATTTCTTGAGCTCCTCGCTTCCATACAAACCACCGTGTTCAGGACCGACTTCCCTGTTCTAACTCATGCTCTCAGGATAACTCAGTGTTCATCTTCACAGTCTTCTGAGAGAACTTAAATCTTCATTCAGTGGCCTTCACCCTCAATTAGCAGTTCATTTTATCATTTGGATCTTTTTTACTTTAGAAAACGTTCTTTTTGTTCTCTTGTTGGAACTTGGGATCCTGATATTAGTTTGCGGGTTGAAAAAACAGCGACTCTGAAGCACTGTGGAGCCCTCCTCCCATCCTGTACTCCGTGGAGCTGGAGAGTAGTTATACCCGTAACCGAAATGGATTTATATGTGATTTGGGCATTAGTATATAGCACTTTCCTGCAGCATAACTACCCCCTAATGACATTTTGTAAAGATTAACATATACTACCTCACAACGCGTGAGAGGTGGCCCAGGAGAACTTTGGGATGTCGAAAGTCCGCAGTGAGCATGAATCCGATGCCCGGGTCCTGGTCATAAACCTGCTGCTAACTAATGTGTGACCTCTCTTATCTAGCCACCCCTCCCCCCTTCCTGGATGATCCCTAAAGACTTCAACCGTTCTAACCCCTACGGATCTGTGCATAATTACTTACGGACATTTGGAAATTTATACCAGGCAGTGATATGTTCTCTTTTCCCTAC